GAAGCAGAGGGGGAGAGAGAGAGAAACATCAGTGTGAGAAGGAAACATCGATCTGCTGCCTCCTGCACGCACCCTACCATGGATCAAGCCTGCAACCTGGGCATGTGCCCTGACTGGGAATCGAACCAGCAACCCTTTGGTACATAGGACAGTGCTCAGCTAACTGAGCTACACTGGCCAGGCTTTACAGGATCTTTTTCACTTATGAGTTTCCCAACTCTTTCACATGAATTCTTGCTTTTTATCTTAATAACATCAAATTTAGTCTCATCCATTTTTTAACCATAACTTAACTTTATTTTTCCCATTCTCATTTTTAGAACTACATACATGATAATTTTATCTTTATCTAGCATGCCTTATGGACTGTAAGTCCCTGTAAGAGTCATGTTTTTATTTTTATTTTAAATATATTTTATTGATTTCAGAGAGGAAGGGAGAGGGAGAGAAAGATAGAAACATCAACAATGAGAGGGAATCATTGGTTGGCTGCCTCCTGCACACCCTACACCGGGGATCCAGCCCACAACCTAGGCATGTGCCCTGATCGGAATCGAATCGTGACCTCCTGGTTCATAAGCCAAGAGTCAAGTTTTTCTTAAAGTGTCAACAACAAACTTCAAGGCATATTTACATAACAAGTGTTGTTGGGCTGCCTCCTGGGTAGGGGTTGCTTTTGGGTAGATTTCATCCGCAGCTGAGCCTGGAGTTCTGATTTAATGGACCACATAACTTTTAAAGTTGGGGAATGGTGTGATCAGGCTAACCATCGACAACAGCATTTTTTCTTCTTAATTGAAGAATATCATTCATGATAAAGTGCACAGAGCATAAATGTGCTGCTTGGTGAGTATAATAAATACATTTATTATATAAAGTGCACAGAGCATAAATGTGCTGCTTGGTGAGTGATCACCAAGTGAACACACCCGTATAATAAATACATTTCTTTATTAAGAAGTATTTGTGTACTTGTCGCTTTAGAGTGAACTTGCTAAGGTAAGAAAGGGTTTTATTTACTTACTAGAGGCCCAGTGCACAAAAATTTGTGCACTTGGGGGGGCCCTGAGCCCGGCCTGTGCCCTCTTGCAGTCTGGGACCCCTCAGGGGATGTCCACTTGCCAGCCGGGAGCAGGCCTAAGCTGCAATAGGACATCCTTAGCGTTGCTGAGGAGACAGGAGTCTCCCGCCACCAAAGTTGTGCTGGCAGCTGGCAGCCTGGCTTGTGGCTGAGCAGAGCTCCCCCTGTGGGAGCGCACTGACCACCAGGGGGCAGCTCCTGCATTGATTAGGTGCTGTCAGAAAGTGGGAGAAATTTTGCAATTGGGTATTGATTTTTATCTAGCACAGAGAAATGGAACAAGGTAAAGCAGCAGCAGTTGCACAGGTTAGCCACAAGAGGGGGTTGCCCAGGCATTTTTGTGGTTTGCACAGTGACTGTTGGTCATTCTTACTTCATCAAGTTCACAGTGACCTCATCTGACATAGGAGATCTGGGAGCTGTTCATGTTCAGCAGAACACCGTGGCCTCGCTGCAAGTGCCAGGCCAGCTTTTAGTTCCCAGATGCTCCTTTTTCTCTCTCACATTGAAAGCCCTGAAATGTGCAGAAGTAAATTAAGAGTATAAAACAAAATAATGAAATAAATCAATGAAATTATACCTCAAATAAGGTTACTTAAAGTAGTGGAAGAGTAAGCATTACATTTAGATTTTCTCTTAAAAGGATAGACTCACACTGCAAAGCTAGTGATATGCTATTTACCAAAGATACGCCTAAAATAAAATAAGAGATTGCAAGAAAAAAAGGGCACAAATGTATCAGAGAAGTAAAAGTTACTACCATGGGGTGGGTGTCTACCATGTGCCAGGCAATTTTCACACAGTAGTTCAGTTAATATGACATTTTTATAATTACTATATGGGGCAGGCATTATTAACCTCAATCTTTAGATAAGAAGACTAAAGTTGAATAAAAACAAATCAATTACAGAGCCATGATTTGAATTTGTATTGAAGCCTGACTGGAAGGCATGCCCATTACACTGATTGTCTCTCTAGAAACCAGGGATAACATTAATACTGGACTAAGAATTTAAAGGAAGCAAACAAACAAAAAGCCTTAACTGTGACGCCCTGGCCGGTTTGGCTCGGTGGATAGAGCGTTGGCCTGCGGACTGAAGGGTCCCAGGTTCGATTCTGGTCAAGGGCATGTACCTTGGTTGCGGGCACATCCCCGGTAGGGGGTGTACAGGAAGCAGCTGATCGATGTTTCTCTCTCATCGATGTTTCTAACTCTCTATTGCTCTCCCTTCCTCTCTGTAAAAAAAAATCAATAAAATATATTTAAAAAAAAAAAAAAAGCCTTAACTGTGATAAAGAGAACAATTCCATATCGATAAGAGGCACAACCACGGGTACAAAAATGAAACAAGTACCAAATAGCATCAAAATGCATAACGGAAATTTACTAGGAATAAAAAAATTAAGGATATAAATAAAATTATCAAGGGATTCTCAACAGCCCTGCTTCATCAATCATGGAAACAAAAGGTCACAAAGGACTTGAGTAACATAATAAAGTAGAAAGATTGAGCATATACTCAAAAAGTTGTCAATTATAAGTCAGGTTTCCTTCAAGAATTTGATAATGAAGTAAATACTACTCTTGGAGAGTTATACTTTCAGGGCAACTCAATGGCTCAGACCATAGGTGTGGAGTTATCGTTCAGCTTTAGGATGTCTTAAATAGGTTAAGCTCCCTTTCCTGTATTACAGATACTGGAATTATTGATTACATAGTATAAAATAGCTGAGTGAAATATTTAAATCTTTAATATTTAAATATAAGGTGGAAATGCGAATAAGCAAGAATAGACTATAAAAATGACCAGACAAGTTTAGTCAACCAAATATATCTCCTAAAAATTAAAAATATAATAATTGAAATGAAAAACTGGTACTGTATTTAGATAAACAAATTAGGTGCCACTAAAAAAAGAATTAGTGACAAATATATAATATATGTACAAATATATAATGCAATGTATTAACTACACAAATATATATATGTGTATATGTATATTATATAAAGTGGAATCAGAGTATAGCCTTAAATATTATCAACATATATTAAATAAATTAACTAAACATTTAACTAAACAAAACCTAGAAAAGACACAAAACAACTATCCTCCTGGAGGGTGTGTGTGTGTGTCCACAGCTTATTTTTTTTCTGTTGGGTTGTTCATTTCTCTTACCATTTTGTAGAAATTGTTACAGACACCATGGATAGGAATTTCTTTTAATGTTTTTATTTTATTTTATTATTATTTAAAGTATTACAAATAATAGAACATATGTCTCCTTTTTCCCCTATTGACTTCCCCCTGGCCTTGCCCCCCTAGTGTCTGTACCTATTGGTTATGCTTATATGCATACATACAAGTCATTTGGTTGATCTCTTACCCACCCCCACCCTCCACCCCTCCCCTGCCTGCTCAAAGTCAGTAATCATCTGAAAGACGCAAATCAAAACGACAGTGAGGTACCATCTCACACCTGTCAGAATGGCTATCATCAACAAACAACAAGTGCTGGTGAGGATGTGGAGAAAAGGGAACCCTCTTGCACTGCTGGTGGGAATGCAGACTGATGCAGCCATTGTGAAAAAAACAGTATGGCATTTCCTCAAAAAACTAAAAATGGAGCTCCCATTTGACCCAGTGATCCCACTTCTAGGATATATCCCAAGAAAACAGAAACACCAATCAGAAAGGTTATATGCACCCCTATGTTCATAGCAGCAGAATTTACAATAGCTAAGATTTGGAAACAGCCTAAGTGCCCATCAGCAGATGAGTGGATTAGAAAACTGTGCTACATCTACACAATGGAATACTATGCTTCTATAAAAAAGAAGGAATTGTTACCATTTGCAACAGCATGGAAGTACCTGGGGAGCATTATGCTAAGTGAAATAAGCCAGTCAGAGAAAGATAAACATCACATGATCTCATTTGTGGAATATAATGAACATCATAAACTGATGAACAAAAATAGATAAAAAGACAAAGAAGCATTGAACAGGAATTTCTTGTATGTTATATGTACATCTCAGACAGAGTTTAGGTTTGTATCTTCATCTCTATGGCCACCTGGAAGATGGGCACTGCCTCTGCAGCCCTGGTGTCCGGATGGAGAGGAAGTGTAGAGAGAAGGCATCCAGGGTACAGAAGCCAGCCCATGAGCAATGGAAAAGAAAGAGTCTGTCCTTTTTTTTTTTTTGATAGGTATTTTTATTATTATTTATTTTACTTTATTTTTCTCTCACCATTTATCCCCTTTATGCCCTCTTCCACCCCACCCCCACAATTACCTCACTGTTGTCCATGTCCATGAGTTCTTTCTTTTTTTTTCTTTTTTTTTTCAGTCCCTCCATGCCTCCTGCCCCCTCTGCCCTACCCCCCCATCCTTACCAGAGATGTCTGCCTGCTCTCAGTCACCTCTGCAGGGAGAGTGAGGGAGGAGATGTAGTGAGGAAACAGCCCATGGTTTAGTGACAAAAAGATTAAAGTTCATTCTTGACCAACTTTGTATTCAGTCTTGGACACATTAACCTCTCTGAAACTCAGTTTCTTCTACAAAGTTGGGGAGGTAATGACATTCACTTTATAGAAGGTTTCTGTGTGGAATAAATGAGTAAGTTCCTGTGAAGGTCTTGCATCAGGGCCTAGCACTCCGTCAACGTTTGAGCCATGTGTAGCTTATAGTGTGAGCCCAATGCTATGATACACACAGACGCCTTTTGAGAATTTTAAAGGACCATGAACACATAAGCTGATATTAGTTTAACATTGTTATCCACTTCTCACCATGTACTGGAAGTCTGTGAAGTATTTGATAACTCCCTTCACTCAGAGTCTGGAGACTGGAATACTGTCTGAGAGCGGCCGGTCACCTCCCCTTTCCCTGATTGGCAGATGAAGACCTGGCTGGACAGGAGGAGGAGACTAGCTCAGCAGTGAGGGAAAGCCGTGGGGTAACCTGGCTGAACAACTGTCAAGGGGAAAGGCAGGAGTTTTCTCACTATGGCTGGAACAAAGACACTTCTGGTGCTGGAAAACTTCATAGGCGGAAAATTCTTACCTTGTAACTCATATCTAGATTCTTACGATCCATCCACCGGAGAGGTGTACAGCAGAGTGCCAGACAGTGGAAAAGAAGAGGTGAGTGTGTTCACTTAGGAAAGACTGAAATGGTCTGAACAGGTCAGTGAATTATGTGTAAATTCATTTCTAGAAGCAAAAGGCTGAAATGATCTTAATTATGTTGGTGAATTATGTGTAACTTCACTTTCTAGAAGTAAAAGACTGAAATGGTCTTAATATGTCAGTGAATTATGTGTAACTGATTTTCTAGAAGCAAAGGGTGTGGGGTGGGGTGTGGGGGGTGGGAAAAGGTTAAACTTTAGCAGAAGGCAGACTTTAGTTCTAGAAAGATTTACTTTGTAACTGGACATGTATGGTACATGGAGCAAATCTCAGGTTAATTATGTTAGAAGCAAATCAATCTAGGCCAGTGGTCGGCAAACTGCGGCTCGCGAGCCACATGCAGCTCTTTGGCCCCTTGAGTGTGGCCCTTCCACAAAATACCGACTTCTGCGCATGGACCACGAACACACTCAAGGGGCCAAAGAGCCGCATGTGGCTCGCGAGCCACAGTTTGCCGACCACTGATCTAGGACAACTAAGACACAGACACAAGTCTCAGGCATTCCTAAATAGGGGTCTAGTAAAAAGTATTGTTTGAAAGAATTGTCAGTATTACGTGCTCCCTTTCTCTACCAAGTGTTGCTTAAACTTGCCAGTATATCCATGGCTTTCTAAAAAGCGTGCTACTTTACTAAAACACAAAATTAAAAAACCCAGGCATTTATTTTAGACTAGGGGCCCAGTGCATGAATTCGTGCACCTTGAAAGGAACTGTGGGCAACCAGGCTGGGGTGGGCACAGGATTGGGTCTCAGCCCATCCTCCACGCCCTCCCCCCACCCCCCCGGCCCCTCCTGCCACAGCCCCTGGTCCCCTCTCTCCCGGCAGCCCTGCTCCTGCCACTGCATCTCCCATGCGCTGACGGTGCTGGCCCCGCTCACACCCACTGACGGTGCGGAGCAATTAGGGCCCATGCCAGCAGTGGGTGTGAGTGGCGGCTGCTGCCCTGATCGCCCCTCATGAGCAGGGGGAGGTGGATCAGGGCAGGCAGCTGCCCACCGCATCCACTGATGGTGCTGAGTGATTGAGATCGGCGCCAAGCACCGGCAGCGGGTGTGAGTGGCAGCTCCAGCACTGGCTGTGTGTGTGAGCAGGACCCGCGCCAGCAGCAGGTGTGAGCGAGGCCAGTGCCAGAAGCAGGTGCAAGTGCCGGTTTGGACTGTGACGTGCTGGAGCAAAGAATTTTCAGGAACCACCAGAGGCTCACCCTAATAACAGCAACCGGTGCCCTGCCATGGTCTGGCGCCCCTGCTCACCTCCACCATCCCACCGTGGCCAATGCCTGCCATGTTCACATACCCCCCCCTGGTGGTCAGCACACGTCATAGCGACCGGTTGTTCGGTTGTTCGGTTGTTCTGGTTGCTCCACCATTCTATTTGCATATTAGCCTTTTATTATATAGAATTACCCTCTAATATTTCTTCAAAATATCTAGTAAAATAAAACTGATCATTTCAATGGTGAAATTAAAAATCAAATTTCCTTTTTTTTTAGAGTTAAATTTAACAGCATCCTTTTTCTTACTCAAGAGCTTTGTGTTACACACATTAACATTTTTAGTGATGTAGAATTAATTTTATTGGAAGAATTTTATAAAATATTCGAAATATATTTCATCAGTTATTGCACTGAGAATGTAAATATATCTGGGGTGATAAATGTGGCTGATGTATGTATACTCATTTAATGCCTAGTGGATGCTAAATTATTTATTTTTATTTTATTTGTTTCCATCACCATTTATCCCCCATAAATTTATTTTTTAAGGTACAAAGAACTAGATTATTTAAAGATAATGGTAACCTTAATATGTAGTATTATATGCAAGGTTTTTGAAAGAACTAGCTATTATTTTTCTATTGTTAATAATATTTTAAATCTGTCTTGCATTAAAAAGAACCTTATCTTGTGGATTAAAGTTTGAAAATATTGACTAATGCTGGTTAAACTGTACCCACACTTTTGTTTGCTTCTAATGACCTTGGATAGATGTGGGAAATTCATCCTTGTTTTCTCCAATCCTCCTCATCTTAGCATGTTTTCCAAAGGGAAGTTAAAAATGAAAGATATGACAAATTCAGTTGAAATATTTTTTTGCTGCTAATGCTCATGCATTTTCAAGTTATGGCTGTACCTACTAGTAGAGGATCAAATATTTTGGATTTCCTAGCAATCTACCATGCAAATATTCTATTTAATCCCATAAATATTTCTTACCCCCACCCCCCTGGTTTGAAATATATGGTCACCATGCAAACTACATGCCCAACTTCCCCAAAAGTCACTCACAGAAAGAGCAGCTGGTGCTGCTCACAGTGGTTCCCATTTATTCAGTTTTTGAGATACACTTTGCATCCACTAAGCCCCTTAGTATACATTGTCCCAAATAGGAGTCATAACCTACAAACTGGACTCTGTCATCATCCATATTTTACAGAGCACAGTATGCTAACACTCTCATTTCTGCTGTTTGGGCTTCGACAGTGGTCTCTCTCTCTGCCTTATAGCATTGCAGTCAGAAGCACAGACTGGAGTCAGACAGCCTGGCTTAGAAGATGAGATGCACCACTTAGTATCTATGGTCTTGACTTTGAGTTGAACGTCCTTTTGCCTCCATCTCCTTATCTATGAATTGGGGATAATCATATCTACTTCACAGTGGTGTTCTGAGAATTAAACAGACTGACTTATGTAAAACTCTTAGTGTCTGGCATATATTAAAGCTTTCTAAGTATTAGCTTTTGCTAATATTGTATACTAGAGGCCCGGTGCATGAAATTCGTGAACGGGGGTGGGGGTCCCTTAGCCTGACCTGCACCCTCTTCAACCGGGGACCCCTCAGGGGATCTCCGACTGCCTCTCACAATCCAGGACTGCTGGCTCCTAACCGCTCACCCGCCTGCCTGCCTAATCGCCCCTAACCCTTCTGCCTGCCTGCCTGATTGCCCCTAACCAACTCTGCCTGCCTGCCTGATCATTCCTAACTGCTTCCCTACCAGCCTGATCACCCCTAACCACCTCTGCCTCGCCCTGCACCCAGGACCCAGGATTCCCTCCTCTAGCTGGTTGCAGGCACCTAGGACCCGGTCTGGCTTTGCCTGGGCTGGCCACAGCCACAGGGGACCGTGAGTGGGTGGCTTGTGCCTCTCCTGGGCAGCAGGCATAGCCACTGGTGCCCGGGACCACGGGACAGGCGGCTTGTCCCTTTCCTGGGCCACAGCCTGGCTGGTCCCCATTCCTCTCTCCCCAGTGTTGAGTGTCTGAGCCATTACGGAGTGATGGC